TTCTCCCATAGAGACCTCCCGCTCAGTTAATAAGAACTAATTAAAAATCATACAACTATACCTGTTTCATAGTAACAGCACTCTGAACTCGTGATGCCGTGGCATCTATTCTGGAACTCATTCGCATAAAATTCAGAGCCTGCAATGAAAATGATTATTTAATTTTCATTACATTGCTTCTTAAGGATCTGATCTTCTTCAATCTCACTGATTTGGAGCCTTTATTGATCCAAGGTTCTCCTAGCTTTTCAAATAATTCCATGGCTGGCCATTATATGTTACATACTTCTTGAATAATATAATTATAAAATTTTGCCACATTTTTATATAAAATAAACTTTGTCTCATCTTGTCACTCACATCATTATTTAATATATATGTACTAAAATAAACAAACAATGCATAAAAAAAGGCAAAGAAGGCAAAGTCCCGAGGCAATCTGTAAACATATATTACATTGATGGTGTCAAGTAGAAAGTTTTTGATCACCAACTCTACTATTGCTAATCATTTAGCATACAGTGAGAATTTGATAGATGGTTTGATTACCTGATTCTTTTGTCGTATGGCATTTTCTGCATGTATTTTGGCTCCCTCTAAATTCCCTTTTTGGATGGCCTGCAGATAAAAGTTGTCAGCAGAAATCAAATATCAAAAATTTGGCTCAAGGACAGATTGAGGTCATGCACAGTTTGAGTGTCCACTCAAGAAAGGATTGTGAGATCTGTTGAGAAAAATACAGCTTGAGTAGGTGTCCAATGGTTTCTATCCCAACTGTGTTTTTCAAACAGCTGATTTCAATTACAAATACTTCATACCTTTTTTAACTTTAATTTTTCCGCTTTTTCTTCTTTTTCACACTTCTTGGATTTTCTTTCTAAATCCTTTGCTGCAAACTGATTGAATAAAATATGATTAGTACATGTACAATTTCCATTCAATTTTACATGACTTCTAATTTGGAAAGTCAGTTATTTGATTTGGCGCAAATATACTTACCTTTAAATTAAAAAGATGTTCTTGAATTTTGAAAGGCAAGGTTAAGGATAAAACATGGCCCAGAACAGTGTACAAACTACAAGTCAAACCCTTTATTGTGTCTCAGTATGTGCATGTCTATCGATATGGAAAGTACAAAATCGGCTCGGAAAATTGCATAGAATTTCAAAGTGGAGGAACTATATCACATCTATAAATGACAACGATAGACCGTTGACGCGACGTAACAGAGGGGCAAAATCGCACAAGCTGCAACAGACTGGAGGAGTTAGCCATTAGTATTGCTCCCCATCTATTGTGTCTAGAGATTTCCCGATTGGTTGTTGGTCAAGGATACTTTCCATCTGGCTCGTCATGATCTCTAGATTATTCAGGAAGAAGAATGTAGGTTCATACAACCAAATATGCTCGTAACTCTTTGAAAGTGGCTTGTTTTGGCGAAGTGATTTCGAATTTCCTTCACTATGTTTTCATCTCCAAAATGGTCGAGTGATGTCATTTACGAGCCGAAATTCATGAGACCAGCAGCATCCCATACTATGACGTCATAGGCTGTTAGTTCCCAGTCTACTGAATTACAACAAACATCTAATAAGGCGGACGAGACGCGGTAGATTCTGAAAACTATTTAGTTTCTCCTTTGACGGTTGTCAGCAGACCCCCTAAATCATGGCGCTTTGTTGGAGAATCTTTTCTCGCTCTCTACTTGTAATGAGGACACCAAAATATTTGCTTTGGAGGCACCTCAGTTCTCAGGTTGATGTAAGAAATTTTCCCTCTAATACCCCAGTGATAAGTTTACGAAGCTTATTGAAAAACTGAGGATGAAATTCGCCACACACGCTTAACTTGTACCAGTCATTCACAAGCGAAGTCACATGTAAATTAGACAGGATTATGAAACCAAATGCAAGTCATCGCATCGTTATCCTCCCCAACCCCTCCCTCCCGAACAATCTCCTTCCCCCCCCTTTCCCACCCCACCCCATTCCTTCTCCATCATAAATAGTCCAGAGTGAAGAAGAAAAAATGATTCGATTGAAATGCATTATTCCACTTACCATCTAAAACTAAATGTGAAGATGAAAGGAGACATGGGTGAAGTATATATACCTTCCATCTTATTTTCACAGGACTTCCAGGTAAGGAAAGTGATTTTTTCTGGAATCCAACCCACTGGAACAATGCACATTGGAAACTATTTAGGAGCAATAAGGAACTGGGTCTCATTACAACATGGAGAAGAGGACATGGTCCTATACAGCATCGTAGATTTACATTCCATCACCATTCCACAAAATCCTGTGAAGCTGAGACAGAGTATCAGAAATATGGCTGTGTATTTATTGGCTTGTGGAGTGAATCCGGAGAAAAGTATCCTCTTCCAGCAGTCTCAGGTGAATTCCCTAGACCTTTACTGAATTTTTAGGACAGATGAATCAGTAACCCTATTTGTTGGGTAACCTGTGAACCACATGGTTCCTCTTTGACTTGAATACTGCTTTATTACCAGTAACTAGTCTCATTTTCTGGGCTATTTTTTCATTTTCAGTTCCCCTCTCAAAACCTGATACATAAGGAAAAGTCTCAGGCAACAATGAATTTGTTTTTAATCAGCTGGTTAAAAAAAAAAAACTTGTTTTGCAAAACACAAAACTTGAGCATAATTTGTATTTTTTTTAAATTTTTTCTCAAGGTCTCACAACATTTAGAGCTTAGTTGGATTTTGGGATGCATGACTCCTACAGGGTTCTTAAATCGTATGCATCAGTGGAAGGTAACCATAATGGCAAAACTGAAATATTTTAATGCCAAAATATTTAATGGACAACAGTTTTTTTTTTTGCTGCCATCATTATGAGTCTGTAGTGGAGTGGCTTGTTCCTTTAAATATTATGGGGAAGTATGTGAAGAAGGGTTGTCAGAAAGTTTTATATTGGGTTTATTTGAAATGTTAATTTATTTCCTTGTGTGTTTGGCTCCTTATTTTAGACCAAAGCAAGTGAAAACAGAGAAAAAAGTTGTTTGGGATTATATTCATATCCTGTGCTAATGGCAGCTGATATTCTTTTGTACAAGTGAGTCTCTCTGAATAGCACAAAACTTGGATTTTTAACTTGGCTGTTGGAGGATGGTATTTCTTATAGAAAAATAGAAAATTTTTTTTTTTCTTCAAGGGCAACTCATGTCCCTATTGGTGAAGATCAGGCGCAGCACTTGGAACTTGCTAAAGAACTATGTCGTCAGTTTAATAACACATATGGAAACTTTTTCCCTTTCCCTAAGAGCATTTTAGGTATTTGTAACTCACGTTACTTCATCTGTGGTATGCTAGTTGGAAAGTAATTTTATTTTAAGTGGAGCTCTAACACCTTGGAAAGTTACATGTAGTTTTATTTTCTAGGGTGGAAAATAAAAAAATTTAAATTTGTGGCACTTTGAAAGGTTTCACTTGTTCTGTTGGCTTTCTTCCAGTCATCCTCAAACATAGCAGTTTGTTCAATAATTTCTCCTCAGAAGACCCCATATCTGAATTTATGAAAGGGTATTAGGGTATCAATTCTCTCCTTTGTATGGTATCTGAATAAAGATTTAGAAATCAGATCTTTAGTGTTACATGTAAAAGGCTATGAGAGGTTTAACTAAGTACTTGTCCGACATTCAAAGGTTACTCTCCTGAAAAAGTAATGGGCATGCAAAGGAATCAAGAAAGACTTGTTCTTTTTCTTTTTTGTGGTAGTTCAGATATTTTTATGTTATTTTTATTACTCACACCTTACACTTGCTTTTCAATTTTTTTCGTAAAAAAACCTAGGAAGCTGACACTGTATTATTTTCAACAGACAATTGTCCTCGAGTGATGAGTTTACGTGATGGCAGCAAAAAAATGAGCAAATCCGATCCAAATGAAATGTCAAGAATTGAATTAGCTGATCCTGCAGACCTCATCCAGAAAAAGATTCAAAAAGCAGTAACGGACTCTGAAGATCACATCAGTTATGATCCAAAAGCAAGACCAGCTATATCAAATCTGATTAACATTTACTCTGACCTCAGTGGGTTAACAACTCAAGCTGTGTGTGAGAAATATCAGAACATGGAAAAATGCAAGAGTATTTTTAAAGCTGACCTCACAGAGCTAGTTGTAAGCAAGGTAACTCCTGTGCAGGATAAAGTCACCAGGATTCGAAAGGATGTGGCTTATGTAGATAATATTCTACAAACTGGCGCAGATCAAGCTAGGAACATTGCAGCAATTAACTTATTGAGAATCAAGGAGATGCTTGGGCTTCAATGATTTGTGATAGAAATGTTGCAGTCACAGCTCCCTGAGTTGGATATGCTATAGAGTGATGTTGTCTTAAAACAAGATGACCAATGCAACATTACAGGGTCTCGGTAGCTTTTTGCCTCTCGAATTTTCCCTACTGTGCCATCAGGCTGCTGAAGAACTTCAGTCACCTTGATTATCAGTGATTATACTCTTTCAAATCAATTTCACAGAACTCCCAAGTAGGAACATCACTCATCTTGTTTAATTTTGGCACAAATATACCCTCCTTTGAATTAAAAAGCAGTTCTTGAATTTTGAAAGGATTATGAATAAAATGTAGAACATAACAATGCACAAACTACGAGTCAAACCCCTAATTTATGTCTCAATATGAGCGTATTACCATGTATGACAGGATGGAAAATGTGTGCACTGTTAGTACCTCCCGTTGTACCATACAGAGCCTTAGAAAACTTGTGTAGCATTCAGGCAGGAAAGTACAATGATTGTAGAAACTGACGGCAATTGTTAATTTAATGCTTGCATAATTTTTAATTGAACTTTTTTTAAATAGGTAAATTATTAAGTGTTGGCCAACAAACGAGCATGAACAACAGCTGTCTGGGGGAGCTCTCCCTCCAAATTACCTGCTTCTGATCCCACCCACCCTACGAAGTTAAATCAAAAGGGCAATCAACATCATTGAACTGATAAGTGCTAGGGTTTTCATGTGACTCCCTTGTGATTCACCTCAAGGGAAGGGTACAGGTACATGAAGGTTAAGTAACTTACAACACTCATAAAGTAAACTAGTAACAACATTTTATTTCAAAGAAGTATCTTCATTGAGGTGGGACTCCCATATCAACTACATCGTAGGCAAGGCAAATTGAGTGTTAGGTTTAATAAGGAGAACGTTTGGGTCCAAAGATCCTGTGGCAGTAAAAACAGCCTTTAATGTTCTAGTTTTGTCCTATTCTTGAATGTGCCTGCCAGTGTGGAACACACATTTGGTTACACACATTCACAGTATTGAATCCCTCCAGCGTCATGCTACTCAATTGATTTGTGGATCAGTCAAATCTTCCTCTGAAAGGCTAACTGAACTGGTCAACATTGAAGCTCGAAAGAAAATATCTTTGCTTGGTTCAGCTTTACAAGATAATTCATGGCTCTTGTGATGGGGACTATACTAGATATATTGATCTGACTGGCCCGACCAGAACTAGAAGTAACCATGATTTTAAAATCAGACCCAGGGCAGCAAGGACAAACTATTTTAAATTCTCATTTTTTTGACCGTTACATTAATGGCTGGAACTCGTTACCTAATTCTGTTATGTCAGGTCCCAGTTTAAATATCTTTAAAAATTGATTATTTAATTATCTTCCTACTTAGTTGTTTTGTATTATTAATTATTGTATTATTTATGATAATCTACTATATTTTGATTTTATTGTTAAAACACAGTAGTTCCTTCATTTTCTTTTTGATCAAGATGTGTGGTTATGCATTAGACATTATTTTCTTTTTATTTTATTATCTTGAAACTTGGAGAGCAGTTTTAGATGGGAGTCCAGTTTCCCCCTACTGCTTTCCTTTATCTTATGTACCTATTTATTATTCTTGTACAGTGGTAAAAAGCATTATTAAACTTAAAACTTGTTTTCATTCTAGAAAGTTATTCATGAAAAAGATGATTTTACTTAAAATGTGTCAACTTAACTTTAAGTTGATAACTAAATCCATCACTGTTAAGTGAATTATTAACTACTCATGCAACAAACTGTTTGCCACGTCTAGTTTTCGAAAATTCATCATTGTCACTTGACTCCATTGACTAAATAAACTACATCAATTACAAAGAATACAATCATCAATTTTACTGTACTACATTATGTACTAAAGGTTGTGCTGTGTAACTACTTTTTTTTTTCCAGAGGTAACATCAGAACAAGTTGCATTCCAATGAATGTCTCTTTGTTTAGGTAATTTACAAGTAAGAATGACTGCATAACAAAGCTAAAATGATTCCCACTTCCATCCAAATTACAGCACTAATAACAGATAAATCGTAATTAAAACTTATTGAATAAAGTGGTTGGAAAATATTTTAGCTGATCTAAAATGGTTCCTGATTCCATTCAAGTTGCAGCACCAATAAAAGACAAAATTGTTACTCATAAAATGAAGTGGAGGAAAAATATTGAATTGATCCTATATCATAGCAGAGGTAGCTTGTGTGAATGAAAAAATACATATAGGTAACAAAAGATCACCTTATAAAAATTCTAAATATACCATACTTTGTCCTTCAAATAAAACTTTGTTCCATCTTTTCCCTACACAAAGCAACATTGAAGGAAGCTGACACTAATTTAGATGTCAGTAAATTATTATGAAGAACAGACTTTAAAATTGAAAATGTTCATTGAAAAACATGCTGTGCAATTATGTTAAAGGTAGGCAATCCACAGACATAAGGTATGGTTAGAAAATAATGCTATGGGTGGATAACATCTGCAACCATACTTTGGATATATTAAACAATCTCATGTGGGACAGTTTTCTGTGACCATTCCTAGAATTTCAATTAGTTAATGAAGTTTATGCAAGGTTGGCAATTTAGCATTCATAACCTGAAGGAAGAAGGAAGCAATTTTTTTCTAAAAACCCTTCTTTTCTATTTCTTTTGAAATTAAGGTCATAATTTATGAGATTCTTCACTAACTGCAGATATCTGAATTATTATGAATACTGTACACCATTTGTGTGTTTATTCTGTGGCCAGTTACATATACTGGCCACTTAGTGGACAACCATGTAAAAGCACAGGTGGCTGCCGTTTCATTTCTTCTAACTGTGACTTCAAATTTTTGTGAAGCAAAAGGAGATTTTCCTAAAAAAAAATATGAGTAAACAATAAGAATAAGACATCAATTATTGATATTCATTCCGACTATGACTATATATAGTGATCACATCTATTCATTTATGTAAAACTGAAGATCTTTTTACTATAAGCACCAAGAAAAAATGTGAATTCAATGTCACCAATTAAGTTTGTGAAAACACAGGATGTATGTGCAAAGTTGCTCAATCATGTCTTTTTTCTTGTCTGTCAGTCTTTCTGTTTTTTATTTCTTTATTTTCTTTAAGCATTTTTCTGGTATCATTCTGTCTATTTTATAAAATAAACAGACTGTAAATAGCAACTGACCTTTTCACTAGTCAACATTGCAAACTCCTCCACATATTGAGCATTAACTTGCTGTTCTGTCTCATATTCTTCCAAGTCTTTTTCAAGTTCAAGCCTGTGGGACAAGTCAGAACAAAAACAGTTAATTTTATTAATGAATAATATTGTCTGGGAATGAGGCCGGACAGACAATGAAAGCCAATCCTAGAGGGGTATATGGTGCAGCAACACAAAATATATTTTTTGGAGTCACATTCCTTACACATGCTGTTATGTAATTTTAAAATTCAGCATAATAAAAAGGGTTGTGTCTGGTCCAGAAGCCATAAGAGGGGTGTAAATTTGTGGGACTTGACATACATGTTTGTGACACTAACAACTGTTTTACATCTAATAACAAAAAGTCTCCTTCAATATCCAAGTAAAATAAATTTAAAGCTTACTTCTTTTGCAGAATCACTGCCATTTCTGTTTGAACTTGGATGTAATCTCTTGCAAGCTGCAAAGAGGAATTATAGTTTCCATTGATAAAACAAAAAAAAGAGATACCTTCAAATATTATACAATGAGTCCTGACAAAAATTTGAAATCAAACAAAATTTCAACTCAGACAAAAAAGGTAACCATATTCACATTTTTATCACATTTTTATGTTAAGTGCAACTCTTTTACCTTTGTAATTTGGATATATCAACAAAGTTGAAATGGTAAATTGGTCACCGTAACGATTACAAAAGCTGACGTTTTGAGCGTTAGCGCTTCATCAGAGCGACGACGAAGAGCTAACGCTCGAAACGCCAGCCTTTGTAATCGTTGTGGTGGCCAATTTACCATTTCAACTTTGTTGATATATCCAAATTATTTCGTTACCCCCACCGACCCAGCCTCAAATAGTTTCTTTAGAAACTACCAGCCTTTATTCTTTTACCTTTGATTGCCCAGTTAAGTACCAATACAAGTAAATCAAGAAATTTCTCTGACAAAATTTTTCCTGTAGACAACTTCTTCTGAAAATGCATTTTGGTATCATGATGTTGACTGTGTTAGGGTACATTTGTACCAAAGCACATGGTCTACACAGCATTAGGTACATCTTTCCACTTTTAAGCTCAAGTGTCTATTGAGAGAGCCATCAGTTCTGTAATAAAAGTTCATTTTGCAGGTATGTAAAGATATCCACCTTAATGTGCTCTTCATAAATTGCTTGTGACTCTGGAATTGCAGGGTTAGGTGCAATGGGCTGCAGGGAAACACAACAACAACAACAATCAAAATTGTTCACCAAAGTGGAGGTGAATAGTGGTGGATATTTACCCGGCCACAAAGCAGCCTGGTAAATATCCACTTTCATTGACACAGAGATGAATAATTCTTTTAGTATTACCACTCAGAAACCAAAAAAATTAGTTTTTGTCTGCCAATATACAAAAATCTTGTACTATTGGCTTGTGTGGTACATGTATATACATGTTCTAATGATAAAACATTTTAACCCTTGAACTCCCAATATCTAATTGTCAACTCTCTGCTTCAGCTGTTGCACATTATCTTGTAGATTAGTTGTGAGAACTTTGTGTTAAATCAAGATGAAAACTTTTTTCTAATAAGTTTGAGTAATCTCATTACCTGTTTGCTGGATAATTATGGATATTATATATAGAGAGAAGTTACATGTTAATCCCTTCTGAGAGTTAAAGAATCAAAGTTTCTAACCTGGATGACTTACAATGACTCAACTCACTGTAACAAAATTAGAGCTTTTTAATTAAAAACTTCAAAGCTCAGACTGCCACATTTACAGATTCAGTACCATCACTCTATAAGACATTTATACTCATGCCTTAGGCTGTAACCATATTTTTGTTGGTTTATAGAGTAACACATTGAAAAAAGGAAATATCTAATGCAATGTCCCAGGAAGAGATTAGTGATGGAGTAAATACATTAAAATGAAATGCCTTACCCTCAAATGAAGTAGACATATAATACTAGTATATTGCATATTTAAGTACCTGCAGATGGGTAGCCAAAGTCTGTAAAATGCTTGGGAAACCTGTTTGATCTGGGACAAAAGAAAAACTTAATTTATATAACTATTACTATAATATATAAAACTACGCACATCAAAACTATTACCAAAAGAATAATGAGAACAAACCTTGTTCGCGTCTCCTTGCTAAAGGGCTTCTTTTCTCTCCACTGAACTTCGTTTCTGGAGAAGACACAGATCTGTTCATATGAGGATGAGGATGGCTGTGTGCGCGCGGGGAACTCACTGGCCAACTTGTCTTCCTGTCTGGGTAAGGACTGCCAGTTCCTGAACTTGATGGACTGGAAAATCCAGATCCCACAGCATGAGATCCCTGTGAGGAAGCACCACTGGAATTAAAGCGAACTCTTTTACCATGTTCTGGGGGGTCAAGATCATTCTGTAGGGCCAGCCGTAGCTCTTCCAAGTCCAAACCATCTGGTGGAGGGGATGTACGAAATCCTGACACAGGAGTGTTTCTGGGCACTGATGGCACAGTGCTTAGTGCAGGCATTTGCATTGGACCAGTGCTGGTTGGTGTAGGAAAGGCATAGCTAGTAGCAGGGGGGTACATGGAGTTGGGTGGGTAAGCCCCTTGCTGGCCATAATTTGGTGGAATAGGACTAGGAGATCTGTATGGGGATGTTGCACCTCCCAGATAACCAGATCCTGAAGCCTCAGAATAGATTAGTGGTTGCCCTGTTGATGGTGCTGTAGACATATGGCTTCCAGGTGAGTAAAATGGTGCCTGCTGCACCCCTCCACTTGGTGGGATGTCTGAAGTGTAATTTGGATAGTAACCAGAACTGACAGCAGGACTCACTGGCGGATAAGAAATTCTTGGACTTAAAGCCTTCACTGGGCTCACCTCAGATGGCAATGCAGACGAGGTCGTCAAGCTAGAATTTGAGCTTGGAGAAGCTGATGCTGAAATGATTTTGATTGGCTCAAAATTAATACCTGGAACTGGCCCAGGTAAAGGGCTTACTGGAGCTTTTCCTGGCTTGTGACTGGGCCCTCCTGAATCGGATGGCTGTCGCACAAACTGAGCAGTGGGACTCTTGTTGTCAACGGAGATAGTAATGGTTGGAGAGGCTGTACGCTGAGGACTCTCATATCCAACCTCCAAAGGAGGTTCACCCTCTAACTCTCCTGGGACTGGAGTTTCATCATCCACTTTGTCCTCATCCTCAATTTCATAGGAACCTTCTTCATCACTCTCAGTAGAGGGCTGACTCTTCATTCCAATGACAGTGTCACTTAGTGTGCTTCCTTGTGTGGACATTTCCTGACCATTTTGATCCATTTCAGAACCCAGCAGAGACAAATCTAAGCTTGGGCTGCTTTCATCTGTGCTTGTACTTGAGGTTCCAACTGGAAAAACAAGACATGTGTCTGCACCTGGAAAGAACTGTCCAGAAAAACAAGTTACTTTTAAATTGTGCACTTCAATTTGATCTTAGAACAATTTAACAGCCTACTAATATCTGGAAAGTTAATAATAATAATAGTGATAATAATAATGATAATATTAATAATAATAACTTTATTTTTGTGTCAAAATACTTTAGCATACCTGCTTATTGGAGAGACAGTAACAAAGCAAAAATAATAAATATTAAATAAATACTAAACAAAATGAAATTCTAAGATACTTGTACTCTACTATTAAGAAAGATATAAAACTATACCGATACTATTCAATTAAAAAATATTTCTTGTCTCTACGAGCTGTAGAGAAAACAGTCACATCCACATTCGTTGTTATATAAATTAAGTTCGAGAGATCCATTTGTCTTACTAATTTCTTAAAATGACTCAGAGTGCTTGCATTTCTTGTGCCCTGAGGTAAGCAGTGCCATAGTGTTGGTCTAAGATACTAGAATGCTTTCTGTACTTTACAATATAGAAGAGTGGTATGACTAATTCTGAGTTCCCAAGGCTAAATAGGGTGGTTTCTAGATTAAAAAGATCTGATATGTATGTGGGGCAGATACCATGCTTAACTTTAAACATGAGAGTAGCTATGTTCTGAAGTCTCTGTTCATATAAAATCAGAAGCTTAGCTTCGTTCAGAAGGTCTACATAGCCCCTTCCCTTATAACCTTTCAAGTCTTCATTCATCCAAAGTTCTGATAAAATGCCAAACTATGGAGCAGTATGTCAAATGTGAAAGGATATTAGTTTTAAATAATTATGTGTAGCTTAGCTTTTTCTGGAATTAGATTTTTCATTCTTAGTAGAACTCCAAGTTAATCTGTCAATTCTTCATCTCTTGGCAAAGACACCAACAAAACAAAGTCATGTTTCATCATCACTTAAGAATATGAATATTAGCTTTAAGGTAACTGGCATAGCAATGCAGTAAAGACAAAAGGACAAAACATATTTTAGCCTAATTAATTTTAGAAGCAATATCCTGGCATAAATTATTTGGTCATCCCTGAGGACAGACTGTACCCATAACAAACCACCAACATTGCTTCCTATGACGCAATGGAATAATGTGTCAAATACAGCAAAACCAACACTTTTCCTGATAGGACTCTGTTCTTACTTGCACTAAATGTTGAAGCATGTGAACAATTCTTGTGAACGATGGTCTCTTTGCTGGCACCTTATCCCAGCAGCTACAGATTGTAAAGATTGAGGAATATAAGCAGTGACAGTGATAATAGGGACCTCAAGCAACCATGACCGCGACGGCAACAAGGACATGGAAAAACAAGAGATCTAATTGGCTGAACAATAGGTCAGCACGTGCATTTTGAAACTTTGTACATTTCTTAGCCATCCTATGCAAAACAACAACGTGAAATTGCCAAAATTAGCATCGTCTGCGAACCGAAACCGCAACAACAACGCGAAATCGCCTCAAACAGTTTCTTTCAAAACTATCAGCCTTTATTCATTTGTATTTTAATTTCCATTTGGAACTCAACACTACTTTTATATGTCATGCTGAAGTTGAGCTATGGCGCCATATGAGACAGTAAGCTCCTGCAGCCATTTTTGAAATTCTAACTAAGAGTAGAAATTCAGTTTTTAATTGAAGTCTTCCTTGGCTTTGCCATCCTGACTGCTTAAGGTCCCTTATGATAACAGATAAATGAGGACTCAAAAATAATAGTTACTGTAACAAATTGGTAAGGAAGTATTTCGCCTTGAGTTAACACAAAGAGGTATATTGTTTCAGATAATTAGGTTTCTACAAATTTCAATAAGTTTTTTAAATTCCCAAAGCAAAAACACTACCACTATTATTTAATAGTATATATTTTTTGGCTTCCAAACAAACAGCTTCTATAAGTAATATACTATAATATATCATATAAACTTAGTTATATCAATAATTATACAATTTATGTTCGTAGTGGACGATTTACTAAAAATCGTATATATAAATTATGTTAAAGAACAGATTGTGTTGCAAAACCTGTGACAGTAATAGTAACTATTAAATCTCTTTCAATTGTCCCCTACCTTGTCATTAGATCTTCAATTGGTTTTGGAATATTTGATATCAATGGAGGCCTTGTTCCTACAAAATAATACAATGATCAAGAAGCAAACAGATGAAATTAGCTTCTTTTTGTTTAACAACAACAATTAATTATACAAACTGCCAAACAGTAATGTTATACTTTTAAAAGCACCAATGTTTTAAGGGGAAAATATCCACAAGGTTATATTTTTCACACTACTATCTTGTTAGCTTTCATGATAAAACACAATACTTATTTCACGCACCATTATGAACAGCCCACATTATTCTGAAAGCATTGAATCCCGACATGTCCTCATAGGGCTTGCGGCGAGTAATCATCTCCCAAAGGATTATACCAAAGCTAACCAACAGAATGCCTTTGTTAATTCACCAACACTTATCAGTTACACATAACTCTTTACTACAAATACTTAAAAAAATTGGCAATTTTTTTGTTAACTATGGTACAGTTCTCTATTGAATTTTTAAAACAGCTGGAGTAGGCCACTTTTTAGAAAGGGGTAACAGCTGGGTGCAAAGACACCTGTCTGACTATATTTTTTTGAGCATGATGGAGTGGTGATGTAGTTTTATTTATTTATAGATTACTGGGAAATTTAAAAAGAGAAACTTGTGAACACCACTTTATGACCAACACATACCTGAAAACGTCACACTTCTCTGTATAATTGTTGCCTGCATAAAGTCAACATCACATTAATCAAACTGAAATAAACCAGTTAATCAGCTGCAGCTGTCAGCAACACATGAAAAGGTAAAACTAACAATCTGAAGCCACCTGTTCTAATAAACTGGTTAGGTGCTTACCTTCAAACACTTCAGGAGCCATCCATGCTGCACTTCCCTTGTTATTTGTCATGTATGTTTTCATGTCACAAGCTGTTCCAAAATCACAGATCTTTAAAACAGTTCCACATTTTGTCAGCAATAAACTACAAAACAAATATTTTTCATAATGATTACACTTCAAACTTGAAAGGACAAGAAAAGAAATTAGGCAACAATATACATTAATTTTATTCCAAGATCATTTCCATTGATTATAACATCTGCTTGCTCCAAACAGCCTCTTTGTTTCACTGTTTACTGCCAATACTAGGAAGCTCCCGGTTAGCTCAATGGATAGAGGACTGGACTGTTGTGCGGGAGGTCGAGGGTTCGAGCCCCGGCCGGACCAACACTCAGGGTCTTAAAATAATTGAGAAGAATATGCTACCTTTCTATAACATCAAGAATTGGTTAGATATTCTAGTCTTCTCGGATAGGGAAGTATAAATGGAGGTCCCCTCTCCTGCAGGGTTAGGGGCAGGAGACGTTAATTTCCCACGCACAAGATTACTGTGTGATGGATGTCCTCCCCTGGGGTGGGATGGGTGGTTAACAGGACCCCCGTTGATACCAGTGTTTACTACACTGAAGGGGTTATCCTGTATAAATATAGATGTCTACTCTACTCTACTAGCTAAATAAGAACAAAAGTGATGTAATACACCAATAAGAACACAGTGTACTGTTCAGTTTCCATACTTTGGGGGCTTGAGGTCTCTGTGGATGATTCCTTTGGGTTTGATTCCATGTAAATATTCTACTCCTCTTGCACACTGGAGAGCCCAGCTCATCATATGAGAGGCTGTGTAAATCGGAGCACACCGTGATGCAGAATGTTGCCAATGAAGTACTGAGATTTAACAAAAATGAAAAAAACTCAGATTGAAATTAAGCCTTCTCAATTCTCTCACAACAATTCTAGGCCTGAGAGAGAGGTGATGAATTAAACAATATTTCATGCCATTATTTGATCACTTTTTGTCTTCTTGTTCTGTCCTTCTCATAAATGTAATTTAATGTTAAAGGGAAATTCCTCCTTGCAGACTCTTAGCCTTACATAATTCATATGTTTTGCTATTATGTTCTGATTCAAGTTTGTCCTTGGTTTCAAATATTTTACTCTCTTTTGACTGATATTTCTCAAAACTACAACAAAATTCTCAAACATGATTGGTTAAAACCAGCCCATATTACATACTAATAGGATAGTGTATATGTCATGCTTGTAATTGGACAGTGTAATTAGAGTTCTCGGTTGTCTGATTTTGTCTATCACTCAAGACATACGTATGATTACACACTATTTTGGACTCCAGTAAGTCCTATAACCATTACTAATCACACTCCTGATTGAAAAATCACATTACCACTTTGGGGTCATACAACTTTGTAATCACTTGCATGATGGCAGACTGAATTAGACTCCACTCAGTTCTATCAAAATTATTTATCAGAAATACACAATGAAGGGGTATGAAAATGTAACTGATTTATATTCAACTCTGAATATGTTTAAAACCCTAATATTATCAAGCAGTGATACCATGCACATATTGATATTCTTACAGTTGTAAAGTGAGCCTCCTTCAGCATACTCCATGACCAGACATACCTGTAAAGAGTATACAGAAACTGATGAATTTTGATTACAGTTTTTCCTAGTTGCCTCACTCAAGGCTACTAATAAATTTGCAGAGTAGAACTTACAGGATTCTGGGTAGTGCAGACACCATACAACTTGATGATATTTGTATGACTGATACGAGACAGCTGTTGAACCTGTTGAAAAGAAATGCCGCCAAATTTATCTCACCTCATCCATTGACAACAAAAGGTATCTGTAAGTATTTTTTTTTAAATACTTTGGTTCCTATCCCATTAAAATCCCTATGTACAGCACTCCATGGGAATAGAACAGTATATATCAGTAGGCCACATCCAATTACAGTAATTTTGCAGTAACTTTAAGTAGATTACACATGCAATATAATTTTTTTAGTGAAACTGTTTCATTTACCTCAACACTAAAGGCTTTCTTTTCTGCTTCAGTTTCAATTGTCTTCACAGCTACAACAAATTTCTGTCTATACAATGCCTTGGAAACAACCCCAAATGCACCTCTTCCAACTGTCTGTAAAGCAACATGAAAAAGCAATTTCAGTTAAACAAACTCCATTTATTTCAGACATGAAGGTAAATTACAACCCTTCAAAGGCAGGCAAATCATTTGTTAAGAGACTGTCAGTAGTATTTCCACCAACAGTGGGCTTCCTATAGGCCATGCAATTTGACAAATTAAGGCACGGGCACTTTTGCCCATGATTATAAAAAAATAGCTATTGAACTGTCAATTAAGTGTCAACGATAAGCTAACTACTGGAAACACTCGCCATCTTAGTATGAAATGTTAAAATAAAAACTGTGATAAAGGTGTTGCCAGTTGCCTCTCTATAACCTGTCGCTAATCTGGCATTTTGAGTAAATGGTAGATCAAAGGAATCTACTCTTAATAATTTACTAATATATATCATTTGTCATCCTCACCCCCTCTATACCTAAAATGCTCATACCGTAGAAAATATAGCCAATGCATAACAAACTGAAGAAACAAAGAAAGGAAGAAGAGTCCTTTAAGAAAGGATATGCTGGTCAGGAATTTGTCAACTGTGCTAAGAAATTTACTCAAGTAACACTGACATCACAAAAGGAAAGTGTCATCATTCATCCTGAAGAGGGCCAAGAGAAGATGAACACCTATACTTACTTAAAAATTTCACTTTTATCTGACTCCTTTCAAAAATTTAAATTTTCCCTAACTCAAAGTGAAATTCTCTGACCTCAAAGAAATTTTATTTTTCCCTGACTTTTTCCTGACCTGTGGCAACCATGTAGAAGTAAAGATGAAAGTCTGACAAATATATGACAATGTAAAATAGAAAACCAACAAACCACATATTCTGAATCAGTCAGCTTCAACTCATTTTGATTACAGAATGGTTCTTTTATCAAATCTGTTCCACAAAGATTTACTTTGCCTTTACAAATTAGCTTTATGTATCCCCTTATTTGTCGGTTATGAACCATGATGTGGGATGATTATTCAAAAACTACACCCTAATGACTTTAATCATGTTAAAATCATGTGTTGATGTTTCCACATCAGGACTTTAGTCTTGCCTACCTAGTAACCTGCTTTATCAAATATCACACACAGACCATGTGTTTTGGTATTCATGCAAACAAAAATAATTCAGTGAAACTGAATTAGAATAGTATGTACTCCTAGTGACTAGCCAATCATAGAGCTCACCAGAGGGACCTACAGAGCAATGCCTTATAGTACTTTCCTCAAGACGGGAACCAAAATACTATCAGCGGCTCAACATGCCCTGCCGTGAGACTGAGTTTTTTTGTGTAACACCTAAAACTGGAAAATTGGCTCTAAAACTATACAATGATGTCTACAGGCCTCCACTGCGATCAGCGAGCCTAATAATAAACAGTGAAATGCTTCCGTTGCAATGTTGTAAAAATTAAAGAGCTAACTCAATCAAGATAATTTACTTCACGATAAATAAGTAAGGAAGAAATGTAAGTTACATAATAAACATGCAAATCTCTTTTCTTTGAGATTTCATAACTACGTTTTAATCTATAACTCTTCCGCCTCTAAAAGCACCGTCAAAGCACACGATGACTTGACCAATAAATTGCTCGTGCAGGTATGTTTTCAAGTTAATTTGATAGTCAAATATACTTTTACCTCAATTTGCTCTAGTTCTGAACTATCAATTTCTTCCACAAATCCCGGAGGAGAATCGGGTTGAAGATCGTCTTCTTCGTCCATTTTAAATCTTCTAGAAAACAATGTGCGAAGCCACGATCAGTTGCCTAAAATATCAACTTGGTTTTGCTTCTTTCGCCGCAGCGGAGGTGGAATCCATTCGCGATGATCAATCCTAATTTTTTCCTATAATGAGTTGGAAGACACTCGGAAATTACGATCGTGGTCCAAACAATTCTCCCTCTGTTTTTGAGATCGTCACAATCACTTTGAAAGCTGAAAATTGCCTTACAGACATCAAGGTTGAAATCACTCATGTGACAGCCGCCATATTTGTTTGAGTTGGACCAATACATATCCCATGATTCAATGTGAAACAGGCGCCAAATGAGCATGCTCGGATTACAATTTCAAACGTAATCTTTGGGTTTGTACAAATTGAATCATTCGATCACAACATTTTGGGTGAGTCTTGTGGCAGATTTCTTTGAATACTGACACAGAAGTGACAAAGAATGTTTCATGAGTCCTTTCGTAGTTTTCAGACAGAGTGTTCATGTTTGAGACATTTGGCAACCTGACAGAATCTTCCATTAGTCCCGTCCGCCCAGACTTGCATCCTAATATTTTATTGTTTTACATTATTTGCGGTTAACTTTCCCTTGCGTTAAATTGCGTCGATTCAACTATTCTTATTTACGTAAAGCTTAACTACAAAGTCAAGTTAACTAAATACGACGGTGTAATCGTAAATGTATCGAAGGAAAAATTGCTGAGGCTAAATCAAAAAATTACTGTTGAGGAATTGTCGGTCTTATTTTTATTACTGAGTGTGTCACACTTAAGAAAGTTAATCAATTATATATTTAAATAAAATTGGAATATCTTGGCAGACATTTAAAGGTGGCTTCTATAGAACAAAGAGGTAAGTTTCTAAAGAAACTGTGGTGCTGCATTGGTGGGGGTAACAAGGTAATTTGGTTTTATCAACTAAGTTGAAATTCTAAAATAGCCATCATTTAAAGTGC